GCCTCCGAAAGTGCTGGGATTACAGGCTTGAGCCACCGCGCCCGGCCCAGTATTTGTTGATTAGAAGGGGTGAGAGCATTCTTGCATCATGTGAGATCCTGCAGAAAAAGCATTGCATTTTCACTGATTGGTTATTTTTACAGTGGTCACCTCATGGATGGTCTTTATGTTGTTGAGGTAAATTTCCTTCTCTGTTTATTTTGTTTAGGATTTCTATGATGACTGGATATTGAATTTTGTGAAATGCTTTTTCTCCATCTATTGAGATGATGTGGTTTTTATCTTTCATTCTGTCTAAGTAGTATATCACATTGATTTGCTTGATTGCGTTGAACCATCCTTGCATTCCAGAAATAAGTGGCACTTGAATATCTACAATTCTTTTTATATCCTCTTGGATACAGTTTTTTAGTATAAGGGATGTTCAAGAAGTTCATGAAAAAATGTGAGAAAATTATGCATGGATTTCATACTTTTTGCATCAGAATAAACCAGTACAAATCTGTCATCACATGTTTAAGCAGACTCTAGTTTGAGGCACACAGAAGGAAAGACATGAGTTTCAAAAGAGACCCTATGAAAGCCTTGTAAATTCTGCTTAAATTGAAATAAAAGGAAACATCAAATTTGTGATGAGAGCAGATGCAGTGGCTCTGGCCTGTAATCCCAACACTTTCAGAGGCCAAGACAGGTGGGTCACATAAGCCCAGGTATTTAAGACCAGCCTGGGCAACATGGTGAAACCTCCTGCTCTACCAAAATATAAAAATTAGCTGTCCATGGTGGCACATGCCTGCAGGTTGAGCTACTGTGGAGTCTGAGGTGAAAGGATGGCTTTAGCTTAGAAGGTCAAGGGTGCAGTGACCTGTGATCGTGTCACAGCACTCCAGCCTGGATGATGGAGCGAGCTACTGTTTGAGAAAAAGAAAACTGTGGTAAATTTTGGGTAGAGAAATAATGAAATCATTGATGCTTTATCAAAAGGTTATGGGGATGATGCCAAGTAAAAACAGTTTATAAATGGGTAACTCATTTTAATTTGGGTCAAGACAATGTTGAAAGTGATGCACGGTGCAACAGGCAGATCATCCACATCAGGTGTTTTTTTGTTTTTTTTTTCAGATGGAGTCTTGTTTTATTGCCAAGCTTGCAATATCTGCATTTTTCAGAGAGACAGGATTTCACCATGTTAGACAGGATGATCTCGATCTCTTGAGCACATGATCTGCCCACCTCGGCTTTTCAAAGTGCTGGGATTAGCAGCCTGAGCCACTGAGCCTGATCCAAATTCGTTTTTTTTTTCTTTTTAAATTAATCTTCTTGGTGCCTTTATGAAGAGGACTGACAGTTAACATTAGAGACAATAGTTAGGAGTTTGAGACCAGCCTGGTTGACATGGTGAAACCCCATCTCTACTAAGAATACAAAAACTAGCTGGGCATGATGGTGGGCACCTGTAATCCCAGCTGCTCGGGAGGCTGAGGCAGGATAATCTCTTGAACCTGGCAGGTGGAGGTTGTAGTGAGCCAAGATGGTGCCATTGCACTTCAGCATGAGCAAGAAGACTGAAACTCTGTATAGAAAAAAAAAAATGTCAAGCCCCTTCTCTTTTGCTCTCTGCCATCATGGTGCGTGGCTGACTCTGGTTCTTCTTGTGTCTTTTCATAAGACATTCAGAATTAAGCGATTCCTGGCCAAGAAACAAAAGCAAAATCTTTTGATTCTCCAGTGGATTCAGATGAAAACTGATAATAAAATTTGGTATAACTCCAAAAGGAAACATTGAAGAAGAACCAAGCTGGGTCAATAAGAAATTGCACATGATGGCCGGGCGCGGTGGCTCAAGCCTGTAATCCCAGCACTGTGGGAGGCTGAGGCGGGTGGATCACGAGGTCAAGAGATCGAGACCATCCTGGTCAACATGGTGAAACCCCGTCTCTACTAAAAATACAAAAAAATTAGCTGGGCATCGTGGCGCGTGCCTGTAATCCCAGCGACTCAGGAGGCTGGGGCAGGAGAATTGCCTGAACCCGGGAGACGGAGGTTGCGGTGAGCCGAGATTGCGCCATTGCACTCCAGCCTGGGTAACAAGAGCGAAACTCCATCTCAAAAAAAAAAAAAAAGAAATTGCACATGAGATGGCACACATATTTATACTCTCTGAAGATCACAATCATGTTACCATATCAAGCTGAAAATGTCACCACTATCTGGAGAGGTGCACATGTTTTATGGGGAATATATTTTTTCTCTCAGAATCTCTTATGAAGGCATTGGTTGGCTGGGTTCAGTAAGGATAGCTTTAAATCAACAAAGTAGTAAGTTTTGTTATAGTGTCAGCCCACCAGCAGGTAGACATACATTATCTATGCATGTCTACATTATTTATGTGAGCTCCTGTGTAAGAAAAACGTAAAGAGGAGGTGTACCCCCTGCTTTCTGAAGACGCCCTACTGTGTACCTGGAAGCTTTCAATAAACTCTCTCATCACTGCACTCGAACACTCACCTTGAATTCTTTACTGTGCAAGATCCAAAAATTCTAAAGTGGAGCATGGAAGTTTTGTTTTGTGTTCAATTATATTTTCTCAACATTTAACAAGTGAAGTACCTGTAATCCCAGCACTTTGGGAGGCCGAGGCTGGCAGATCACGAGGTCAGGAGTTCCAGACCTGCCACATGGCGAAACCTACGTCTTTACTAAACATACAAAAAATTAGCCTGGCAAGGTGGGGCATTCCTGTAATCCCAGCTACTCGGGAGGCTGAGAGGCAGAAGAACTGCTTAAACCTGGGAGGTGGAGGTTGCAGTGAGCGGTGATAGTGACATTGCACTCCAGCCTGGGCGACAGAGCGAGACTCTGTCTCAAAAACAAAAAAAGTGAAGTAAAGATTCGTTGCGCCAGGCGTAGTGGCTCTTGCCTATAATCCCAGCACTTTGGGAGGCCTAGGCAGGCGGATCACTTGAAGTCAGGGGTTCGAGACCAGCGTGGCCAGCAGGGTGAAACCCGGTATCTAACAAAAATATAAAAATTAACCGGGCATGGTGGCGTGAGCCTGTAATGCCAGCCCATGCCTCAGCCTTCCTGGCCCGACCCGCCTCCAAAACCCAAAAACAGGCGCTGGGAGCGAGGCTGAGAGACGCACAGGTGCAGGCCCGCCCCGCCCTCTGCCGGTTCTGAAGGGCAAGGTCTCTTCGCCTCGCGCCCCGCCCCTTCCTCGCCCAGGCCCCGCCCACCTCCGCGCGGGTCCGGTTCAGACCTGGCTTCTGTCCTGCGCGCGCAGACGCCCGCAAACCCGGAAGTGAATAGCGTCGAGTTCCGGTCCGTTGCCGTCGCGTGAGTTTCCCACTGTCTTGTATTAAGTCTGCGCGTCCCAGATCGCTGGCGCTTCTGTACCTGGGACGTGGGGTCCCCACAGACCTGGAAATTCTCGCCCGTCTTCCTTCACACAGAGCAAATTGGGACGTCCTGCTGTGACTCTCCGTGGGTCGCTTCCTTGTGGGTTTAAAGTCGCCCTGAGGCTGGTCCCGTCCTGGTTTTTCTGCTATAGGACAATGTGTACACTTCCTATGGCTTAGTGTTTCGGCCCAAAACCTTATTATGACTCCTCCCGCCCCGCGCCTTTTGAAGTCCTCACCCGAGAGGTGGATTCCTGCCCTGGGCGCCTCCCACCCTCGTGCTCATCGGCCCCGGTCCCGGGGAGGCCGCGTCCTCTGTCTGGTCGTGGGATCCTGCAGACCCCGCCTTTGTCTTAAGGCACCGTCGTCCCCCACCTCCCTCATTTTTATGCCAGGCCCTGATGCTTCCCAGGTCTCCCTTCGGCAGTCACTGCTTCCCCTGACCTCGCGTTGGGAAGGTGCCTGGGGCCTGTCCTGTGACACGGGGTGTTCTTGCCTGCCCAGCTTCAGTCCCTGGAAAATGCGCTCTTCTGGGATGCAGGCGTGTTACTTCCAGCCCTCCTGTGATTATGTGGGCCAAAGGGATCAGGAGACAGAGCAGTGGAAAACCTGAGAGAGAGAAAAGAATGAGGAAGACCCATAACAGAAGGCAAAGTAGAGAATGGGTGAAGGATTTGCAAGAGACAGCAAAAGTGGGGGTAAAAAAAAGGATAAAACAGGAGGAGAAAAAGGAACTGGAGAAATGTAGAAAAAGTCTCCATGTACAGAGAGATGAAGGACAGCAAAGTAGGGATGGGGCAGCAAAGAGGGAGGCTCATGAGAGTGAGGAAGGATTTGGAGGCAGGGCAGACAGAGCAGAGTGGTGCTGGTGGCAAGGAGAACAGAGGGAGGGAACAAAACCACAGCAGGGAGGACATCTGGAAATCTGGGGTGCCAGAGAGTGGGGGCAGGAGGTTATATCAGAGAAGAGAGAATTTAACAGGGATAGCAGAGAAGGCGCAGAGATGGCAGAAGAGGCGGACATACATGGAGATTGAGGACGATCGAAAGATTGGACAGAAGGAGCAACAAGAGGTTAAATAAGTTGTGAGGATGGAGCAGAAGAGGTGGAAGAGAAGGAATAGAGGGGAGAAGGGGATAAACAGCAGGAGAGGAGAGGGGTACAAAGTGAGGAGCAGAATCCCAGGGAAAAAGAAAACAGCTTTGTCTAGGGAAAAAAAAAAGAAGAGTGAGTAAGAACAGATGGCAAGGTACAGAACGAAGAGGGATATCCGGAAAGAGTACCAGTGAAAGAAGCACCCCAGAAAATAACAGAAGGAAAGCAACTCAGAGTTTGAAAAGGAGTTACTCTGCAGCCTTTCATCTTCAGAGAGATGGGACCTCTGCCTCCTATGGTCAAGCGATTCTCCTGACTCAGCCTCCCAAGTAGGTGGGATTATAGCTGTGAACCACCATGCCCAGCTAATATTTGCATTTTTAGTAGAGACGGGGTTTCTCCATCTTGGCCAGACTGGTCTCGAATTCCTGACCTCCAGTGATCTGCCCATCTTGGCCTCCCAGAGTGCTGATTTTACAGGCGTGAGTCACTTTGCCCAGCCAGATAGTTCTTTTCTTTTTTTTAGGGAACCACTTTTCACTTTTGCCATATTGTCCAGGCTGGTCTTGAACTCCTCGGCTCAAGCCTCCTAAAGTAATGAGATTACAGGCATGAGCCACCACACACAGCCTGTTTTTTAATTTTAAAAAAATTACTTCTGAAATAAGTTTTGTTAGAATATTGTTTTGATAGTCTTTACCTGTCGCCCAGGCTGGAGTGCAATGATGTGATGTCAGCTCACTACAATCTCTGCCTCCCAGGTTAAAGAACTTCTCCTGCCTTAGCCTCCTGAGTAGCTGGGATTACAGGCACCGGCCACCGTGCCTGACTGATTTTTATATTTTTATTAGAGATGAAGTTGCATCATATTGGGTGGACTGGTCTTGAACTCTGAACACCATGATTCACCAACCTTGGTCTCCCAAATTGCTGGGATTATAGGCATTAGGCATGAGCCAACATGTTGGGCATTTTTTTTTTTTTAAGATAGAGTCTCACCCTTGTCACCCAGGCTGGAGTGCAGTGGTACAGTCGTTGCTCACTGCAACCTCTGTCCCCTGAACTCAAGTGATCCTCCCACCTCAGCCTCCTAAGTAGCAGGGACCACAGACACCCTACAGATGTCCACCAGCATGCTTGGCTAAGTTTTTGTATTTTCGGGAGAGATCAGATTTCACCATGTTGCCCAGGCTGGTCCCAAACTCCAGAGTTCAAGCCATGCACACGCCTCGGACTCTCAGAGTGCTGAGATTACAGTTGTGAGTCCCTGCACCCAGCCTCTGCATGGCATTTGGCGAGGGCTGAATCTGTGCCCTGAAGGGGAGCTCATTCCAGCCCAGCTCCTTACTGCTGCAGCATGTATGGGGGCTTCTTCAGGAGGGAAGGGGGTTCTGAAGAAAAGAGTCAAAAATAATTTAGTTTTCCTGTAGGAGTTTATCTTCCCTGGTGCAGTGGGCAGCAGAAGGCACCGTATTTCCTCAGGTTGAGGTTTTCTTTGTATGTGTCATCGTGTTACAGGGAGGAGGTGTGTTGATTCTGAGCAATAAACAACATATTTATAACATTCAGGATTGACTTCTAAAGTCTCTTGACACGTGAGGAAGAACCCCGGAAGAGGAAGAGGAAAGCAAAGGAGTCAGGGATGACTCTTCCTCAGGTGAGATGATATTCTCGGTGGATTGTTCTGTCTCCTTCCTTTCAGAAATGCTGAGCCTTGGAGTTGGGAATCTTCTCTGAGTCTGAAGCGTCCTGCCTGACAGGTTTGCTGGCAGTCACCTATGCCTATCCTCAGTCCCTCTCATCTCGCTTAGATTCCAGCTCCCGTGACCCAGTGACATGAGCTTGGGAAGAGGCTGCACTGGGCATGGTCCTGGGAAGGGCTCACCCCAGACGTGGATGGAGACGGGGTGTGGGCCCCGTGGTGTCAGGGCTGTTGGGCAGCAGGGATTGTTCAGGGGCCACATCTGGATGCACCGTCAACTCTCTGTAGATCAGAAGTAGAGCAACTGCCAATAAAAGTCATGTATTAATGTGTATGAAGTACGTGGTAAATTCTAGAAAGGGAAACTAATAATGGCCGAGTGTGGTAGCTCATGCCTGTAATCCCAGCACTTTGGAAGACCGAGGCAGGTGGATCACTTGAAATCAGGAGTTCGAGACCAGCCTGGCCAACATAGTGAAACCTTGTCTCTACTAAAATTACAAAAATTAACTGGGCATGGTGGCGTGTGCCTGTAGTTCCAGCTACTTGGGGGGCTGCTGCAGGAGAATCACATGAACCTGGGAGGCGGAGGTTGCATTGAGCCAAGATTGCAACACCGCACTCCAGTCTGGTGATAGAACCAGACTCCGTCTCAAAAAACAAAAACAAAAACAAACAAAATGGTACAAAAAATTAGCCAGGCATAGTGGCACGTGCCTGTAGTCCAAGTTACTCCGGAGGCTGAGGCAGGAAAATTGCTTGAACCTGGAGGTGGAGGTTGTAGTGAGCTAAGACCCCGCCAGTGCCCTCCAGTCTGGATGACAGATGGAGACTCCGTCTCAAAAAACAAAAAAAGGCTTGATTGAGGTGAAGGGTTACGGTGTCACGTACTTCATTGATTCCCTCGGCCCTTTTGCCTCTGTTGTACTATAGCCACTATTTTCTGGTTATGCTGATATTTGTGAAAAGAGGTCTTGTATTTCCTGCATCATAATGACATCAGTTCTATTTTGCCTAGTTTAATTACTTATGAATAAAACAACCAAATTTCCTTTAAAAAAAAATAGAAAAAATTTTTTCTGTCTGATTTTATACTACATTTTTCGCTAATTGAGTGAGTTACTGTTTTCTTGACTCCAAAAATCTTCCTAATTAGAATAGAAAATTCACACACAGATATGAATGATACAAAGTGTTTTAGTCCATTTTTATTTTAAGAATATGAAATCAACCTAAATAATAGCATTAAACCATTAAACTATTCATTAAACCATTCTTAGTACATTAAGCTCATGCACACTGTGGTGTTACTGTGGAGAGTCTTGTGAAACAGGGGTCTTTGGTAAAAATGGTTATAATTCTCTCAAATATAGGAGCAGTACTTTTTTTTTTTTTTTTTTTCCAATTCAGGGGAAAGCATGAATGCAATCTCCTACTACCACAAATTATGCAGTCAAGTTTCCCACATCTGGGGAAATCTCAGGGGTCAGCACATATGGAGTGCAGTGGATAAGTCTGCTCTAGGAAAAACCACCTTCACCATCGTAATATGTCTTTTTTATCCTTATGGGATGAAACCATATTTTTATTCCAACTATTATTATTATGATTTTTTGAGACCGAGTCTCTCCCTGTTATTCAGGCTGGAGTGCAGTGGCAGGAACTCAGCTCACTGCAACCTCTGCCTTCTGGGTTCAAGGGATTCTCCTGCCTCAGCCTCCCAAGTAGCTGGGATTATAGGCACATGCGACCATGCCCAGCTAATTTTTTTTTTAAGTTTTAGTAGAGACAGAGTTTCACCATGTTACCAGGCTGGTCTCGAGCTGCTGACCTCAGGTGATCCACCCACCTCAGCCTCCAAGAATGTTAGGTTTATAGGCATGAGCCACTATTCCCAGCTTACCAATTATTAAATATATATTTTTATATTTAAACACCACATGATGTACATATTTGTTTTGTGGTAAAGCTTCAAGCAAAGCTGCAGCTTAGCCCCTTGGCTGTAAAGCACCTCCTTTCCCTGACACGTCCCCCACACTCCTTCCGGCCTCACCCGGGACCCACTACTGTCAGTTCTGTGTCAGGTGTCAGGGCAAGTCTTGTACTCATGTATTTCTGCATTGTTATGATGCTTTAGAAAAAATTCTGCAGTAAATTGAAAAAAAAATTTTGTATATTTACTTTTTTACTTTAGGTTTGGGGCTACATGTGAAGGTTTGTTACATGGGTAAAGTCATGTCATTGGGGTTTTTGTACAGATTATTTCATCACTCCGGTACTAAGCCCAGTACCCCGTAGTTATTGTTTATTTCTTTATTTTTTTGAGACTGAGTTTTGCTCTTGTCGGTCAGGCTGGAATATAATGGCATAATCTCAGCTCACTGTAACCTCCACCTCCTAGGTTCCAGCAATTCTCCTGCGTCATCCACCCAAGTAGCTGGGATTACAGGTGGCTGTCACTGCGCCTGGCTAAATTTTGTATTTTTACTAGAGACAAGGTTTCACCATCTTGGCCAGTCTCAAACTCCTGACCTCAGGTGATCCACCTGCCTCAGCCTTCCAAAGTGTTGAGATTACAGGGATGGGCCACCATCCTGCCCTCCAATAGTTATTTTTCTGCTCCTCTCCTTCCTCCCATCCTCCACTTTCAAGTAAACCCCGGTGCCTCTTGATTTCTTCTTTGTGTTCCAGTAAATATCTTACTTTGAAATTTGATCCTGCTAGTTGTGAAACTTTACATGTTCTCATGTTAGTAGACAGGGCTAGCTCGCTCTTCGACATCTGCATTGGAAATCTGCTGGATGACAACATGTGGGCCCTTTGCAATTTTCCTCTGTGTTAATAGTGCCACAGTGGCTGCCTCTGTGTGCGCCTGCATGACTACAGATATCTGCAGATTCCTCCAGGTCTGGCAGTGGAAAGAGTGATTTCTTCTTCTAGGAGGGAGCATTTCCTGTTTTCTTAGATCTGACAAGATCCCTCCATCCCCAGCTGCCAAAGTATCCTTTTCCACCAGGATGAGATTCCTCTTCAGTTAAACAAAACTTGCTACTTTTTATATTTTTAAAACCTATATCTATGTATATATAAACACACACATATACGCACACACATATATGCATACACGTGCATATATACATACATGTATATATTTTTAAAATCTGGGGAAGATGACTAGCCTTTTTATTACCATGTAGTTTTTGTGAGTCTGTATAGGTTTTATTATTTTGTGGACATGCATGTATACAAAACAGATTTTTGTACTTTTCGTAATTTTGCTTTAATGCATTTTATTTTCTTTTGAGAGGGAGTCTTGCTCTATTGCCCATGCTGGAGTGCAGAGCCATGATCTTAGCTCACTGCAACCTCCACCCTCAGGGTCAAGCTGTCCTCCCACCTCAGCCTCCCAAATAGCTG